AGCCGTCATTGTTGTTTGGCGGCCCGGGCTGGGGATTCGAACCCGCCGCCTTAGGTGTATGTGGCTGGCGCCTTAGCCGGGTGAGCTATAGGCGCCGAGCCACAAAGTCTTTTTTATGAGTTTAACTTTTGTCTTACATTTTACCTTTTTTTAAAATCACATAATATTCTTTCCTTATACAATGTCATTTTTGTCCAATTTTTCTTACTCCCTAAAATTTATTTCCTTTAAAACAGGATTACAGTTAACTATTTACTTATCAAACTGATAATTAGAAAGTTTTACAAGGCAAGAATTTTTGATAAAGACCCAGTTTTTTAGGCAATTAAATTATTACATTTTATAAATGAGAGACATTTTATGAAATATAACATTGATACAGGATTTTCTCAGTCAGAGCTAAACAGGAGATCTTTATTTTTTTTAGGCTCAGGTAAGTTTAGAAATCAAATTTTTATTTCCAGGCACAAACACATTGCAGGTTATACTCTTTGAGTCCTAGTAAGGTTATGAATAAAGCAATTCTAAATATTTGGAAGGTTTTACTCTGAGTAGGAAGTACACATCATAATTTTTCCAGATAAAAACTGTGAAAACTTAATAACCCTGCCTAAGATGCGAGGCTGTATTTATTCATTTGTTAGAATACCCATTCAGTTTGTAAAGGCATATTTCTGTTTATAAATGAGGCGATTTATTAACTCAGCATTAATGTTTCTTGTTGGCACCTATCCGGCAATTCTGTTTAGATTTCTCTGTTCCTGAGGTGTCAATTTGCAGCCCCCCTTCTTGTTTCTTTTCTACCCTTTTCAGCCCCTTCAGGGCTTGGGGAACCCGGTGGGCCACACTTTTGGAGCCTCTACTGAAATGGCTGGGCATGATGCCATTTCTCTGACATCTCCCATAAATAGCTAAATTCTGCAAAGTAGAGGCAGTGAGGTGGGAAAGCCAGGCGAAAGGAGTAGGCAAGTTTGAAAGGAATCAAAACTGACTTTACTATGTCTGAATTTTTTAGCCAGTCATCGCTACTGCTGCCAGTGGCAACCCTGTCATTTGCACAACTGGGAATGAAAGTTCAACAAGAAATGTGATCAGATGACAAAATATGTACTAATCAGTTATTATAAAAATCTACCTGATTACCCCTTTTTTGACTGTTGGCAACTAAGAGTATTATAATCAGGTAAATGTTACACAGAAAAAAAGAGGGGCCCCAAAGTTTGGTGATGATGGGGCATCAAAGAGTTAGGGGGATACTAAGCCTAATACCAGTAATAAAGATGAAGACACCAATGACTGCCAGGCCAAAGAGGCACCAGATGGTGAGGGGTATAGAACACATAAAAGTAAATAAGTAAGCAAGGCAGTTTCAGAAGGGGTAAAGTCTTGAAGGGTCCCTTGAAAGAAAAGATCTGCAATCCACTCACAAATGTTTTCAAGACCGTTTATTTCAGGCCGAGACCAATCTTCTAGTAAACACCGAACAAATGTCATAAAAAGACAAGGCAGGCATAGACCCTGACGTAAATAATGTCTAATAGTCCACATTTATTCTCACACTTTTGTATTTTTAGAATTAGAACCAGAACACATTCTTATACACTTTTAACAGGCTTGTGAGTGATCTAACACCTCAGGGGTTGATTGGACTCTTGCTCTTTTCTGGGAGTCCCTGACAGGACAGTAGGGCTGTAGTTCCCACAAGTTAATGGCCCGGTAACCCGAGGTCCCTGTTTAAAGTTCCAGTCTTATTGGCCTTTCCTTGGAGGTTAATAGTTAATTAATGTTTGTAGACACCAGCTAAAAATAGATATCAAATTGGCTTACCTCTGTAGGTGGGTTCTGGGCTTTTTAGGGGCCCTGGGATGTCTTCAGGGGGTGTCTCCCCTCTAAGGGATCACAGCTTGCTCCCCTCAGAGACCATCTGAGGATTGGCAGAATATATGCCAACCAGAGTGATGTTAGGTTACTGTTTTAAGAAGTAGGCTAGGTGCCTGTGGCTCAAGTGGCTAAGGCGCCAGCCACATACACCTAAGATGGCAGGTTTGAATCCAGCTCGGGCCTGCCAAACAACAATGATGGCTACAACCAAAAAAAA